ACTATTATGCCTGAAAGCATTAAAGGTAAAACAGGACGAGGACAACCAGCAACAAGATGGATGGATGCAATCAGAGGAATCAATGATAAGCCCTTCAGAAACCTGAAGACCCAAGCAGAAGACAAGATATTCTGGACAAACACTGTCCATATGATCACCAGGAGTCTGAAACAACTTGATGACACTTAATAATGATAGTAACATGCAATACTCTTTGTTCATTTCTCTCTAGGACTCAAGGTTTCTCAGAATAGATTAAGCCTAGTGAAACTGCAGAATATACCTCTAGATACTGGGATCCCTTCACATTTCACATCTTAAGGGAGATTCCAAACCACAAGGAGTAAAAATGTTCAGCTTGAAGGAAATGTCAAACTTTGTAGGGAAGTGTCCTATAATTGTTTATAATTACTCAGGAAGTTGACAGGAAAGTGGCCCCATGAGACACTGCGAGTCTCTTTGATGATGACATTGCAGAGCATTCCAAATGAAGGGCTTTAAGGCATGTAGCTTACTTATAATGTAAGCATTTACTAAGTTCAGGTCTGAATCAAATCAGCTTGCACACAAACTAGTTTTTAGATTGAGCTTAGTAGTAACTAAATATTTACACCTCCCCCCTAAACAGGTTGAACTGTTGGTGAAGCCAACAGGAACCACAGAGAGAGTTCAAAGAAGACAAAAAAATCACCCAACTAGAAATGGCGATTGCTATCTTAATTATAAACGCTAAATGCTGTGAGCTGTGGTTTTAACTTCAGCTCAAACATTATGTTGGTTCAATTTCAACTGCAAAAAGTGCAAATTCATAATGCTGTGAGCAAATCTAAAAAACAAATAAATAAACAAACTGTCAATAGTAATTATTATACTTCCAGTTGTAAAAACAGTATTAAAACAGTTTAATTATCCAGTTATAAAAACATAGAATTGCAATATAATTCTCTCCTATAATTGCTTCCATGGAATGCAAAAAGCCATCAAAAGCTACTATCTTTGTTTAAGCATTGTCTTTATTGACTGGTTCTGATCATGATGTTAAAGAGACAATGTTTAGCAGTATAGCATTAGTTAGTTGTTAAGTTAAGACATAACATCAGGATTTGTAGTGAAATTAATTTTAGTTAAAAGACCAACTAACTAATGTTAACTAAGGACTAAGGGCTAAGTCTTTATGCATAAACGTATGTTATCTTACCCAGTCCTGGAGCTGATTAAAGAGAGTAGGGATGTGCTGATAATGATATTCTGGGCCATTCTGATATCTGATATTTTTTATGTATGTATCTGATGAAGTGGGTACTGATGCTAATATGTGAACAGATATCTATAAGGTAGAAACTGGGGCTACATCTACTCAATATATTTATTTCTAGAGGGTTACAGCAGTAAAATAAATAAAATGCCGACATTTTTTACACAGTAGCCCAACATCATTCTAAAGTTCTGCTCTTCCAACATACAAAAAATACATCATTATATATCAGTTTGAAGTATAAGTCAAAATCTAAACGTCAATGGTGATATTTTTTTGTGAATCAATTATCTACCACTATGATTCTGATGTTGTTGAGCTCCATATCACTGCATCTGTGGAATCCAGTAGTCTTGGCGGCTGGTCCCATAGACTGTGGTTGGTCCATATCAGTGCAGGCTGATCGTTAGCTGATTGTTAATTAGCTGATTAATTGGATTCTCTGTGGTACAGCAGGGAAAACACCAAAATATGGAGGACAAAAATAAATGAGGATCATGGATTAGAAATTACAGTTGACAGGGAACCACTAGGGAAAGGTTTTCTTATTCTAGTTCATAAGTTTTCTTATGCTAATTTCTAGTAGCAATATAAATTATTTATATATATATTACCTCACAGAAAACTTTTTGTTGAAGGTTTCTAAGTGAGACTGAGATACATCATGATTTGTAATACGCTTTATAATTGCTAAACCCCTGCATAACCAGTTTCTTGATGTAATCCTGCTTCAAAACTCACATTGAACTTCTTATCTACCATGTTCTTATATCCAACTTGCTGTAAAGGTCTGGCACAATCAATAGTGTCCCAGGAGGCCTCTATTCAATTTGACTTGTAAACTTGTTCTTGTTAACTGCACTATCCAGCACAACCTGAAGGAGGATGGGTTTTCCTTCTAAGCCTTGATTCCTGTTGTTTCTTCCTTTTATGGAGGCATCCTGCTCGCTATTAGGGGTCTGTCTATGAAAAGGTCTGTTGTAAAAAGCACTTTACGAATGAAATTGATTTGAACTTTATTGAGATACAGGTGTATGTAGTTGCACCATGGTGCTCATTTGGCTCTCACATGCTTTGCTTGCGTTGAGCCATTTCTTACTCTCTTTCCTCCTGCACATAAATACACAATAATTAAGTCTCTTGGACTTGAAAGTCTCAGCGTTCCATCGAAGAGTCTGTAGTCGGAAATACAATTATGCCTAACAGTTCACTCTACAAATAGAAGTCAGTTATAGTGCACTCCGAAATGCAATGGCTGGAAGCTGGTACTTGTATGTGAAGTGGGTACATGAACATAAATCTCTGCTATGTATTCATCTTTCCATTCTGAAGCACTCAGTGGGTAAATGCTTGTACTCAGTGATGTGATTTCTAAACTCAGTACCAAATGCCATTTGTACTATCCACTGCTGTTAAAGCGTGTATAATTTTTCAATTTTTATTTGATCTTTCATGTTAACCTCTGAGGCACAACAAAGGACAATAAAACAATGTGAATGACATTCTAAAATTAGTAGTGTTTCATCATAAGCATATCTGTATTTCTATGGCCTGTTTACAAGTGTACAATTGATATGGCTTTAATATGAGCTAATAAAACCCACTGAAAGATATGGACAGGGGCCATTGGTTCTGTCTCTGAAACACTCACCCAAAAGCATGACTCATCTGTCTGGGGACTATTTCTTTCATACAGCACAATGTTGCCACCAGCTGGAGAATCCAGACTTTTCCACTATAACTGGTACAGGATATTTTGTTACAATATCACGCTAAATAGACATTTGTTAAAGGGAGATCATTTTAGATGGACTTCATGCCAAGACATGGTATTTTACAGAGGTTTGGTAAGGGGTTTCAATCAAACATTACAATGAATGACACATCTAGCCTTTAAACATGGAAGTTCTCATTTCTTAAAAAGCTCGGAATAATGACTAACATTCCACAGCGCTTGTGTGGTAACTTCAGTGCAGTCAGATGATATTTTTCACTCTTCATGGTCATGAGACATTATTACATTATTCAGTCACAAGAACAGAACTACAGCAGACAAACACAACACCAGCAATCCACTTTCACTGATGTGACCACAAACATCACTATGGAACATCCATCCAAGACCTTACATATTTTTACACCTTGTTAATGATATTTCACTGTTTTAATAGCAGAATGGAATGAAGACCCTCTCTGGACTATTGGATACCAAAGCTTGATCACTTTGAGCCAAGAGCTCCCTGAGGAATCTGAGGTAGGAGTGTAAAAACAAAAGCATTGAACAATACTACAGATACTTAAACAATACTACACTTTTGGTTAATGAGAAGTGGATATATAAACACACTGATGTAGTCAGTGAGGAGATAATCACTGGACTGGGGGATTTTCGCATTGCTCACACTTTCCTTTCCCTTTCCCAGATCAGCTGAGCTGTGTTTCAGCAACAAGTTTTCCACCTATCACAGACAGTAACGCGCAAGTTTCTCTTTTTTTTTCATATGAGGCAACTCATGCAAAATCATATGATGGGAAAACTCTGCATTCACGTGAGTCAAACAGCACATTGACAGTGCAAGAAAACATCAACCATAATATATTCTGCACTACAAAATAATTAATATACTGTAATATACATCAGTGCAACAGTTGAAGTCTCTGTGGGCTTGTCTTGGTATTAAAATGCTCTGAAAAAAAGGCAAAACAGCATCTATATGTTTAGCTTTTTTCCCTCCACAGCCTAGCTGAAGTATGGTAACTCTGCTCAAAAAACCTTTTCCCATATCATTAAACAGTTACTGTAATGGCAGCAGCATCAACTTAAGAAAGTGTGTTCAGTACACAGTTAAAAAGATGGTTCTTCAAGTGATCTTTAGTAAAGAAAATGGTTCTATATAGAACTATGAACACTTAAAGAACCATTTGCATGATTAAAGTGTTCTTTGCATCATGAAAACGTTCTTCAGATTGATGAAGAATGTGCTGTAAGATGGTTCCATATAGAAACTTTTTGAAAAAGGTCCTTCTATTGCTAAAAGCTTAACATTTTCACAATAGAAGAACCCTTTTTGGTGCTATGTTTGGTGCTTTTCATCTACAGCACATTCTTAAGAACGCTTTCATGATGCAAAGAACCCTTTAATCATGCAATGCTGCTGCCCCTGATACACTTGTACCAGGACCACACCTGCAGTGTCACTGTAGAGCTGACATTTAGAAACCTGAGCAATGATGAATGAACTAGAGGGTGACAGACAAAGGCAACAGTTTGTGACTGTACACCTATATAGTGGACCTATAGGTGAACTTCATAAAGTGTGACATCCATGGAAGTAAAATAGATGTTTCAAATAAAGTGGATGGGAAATGAATACTGATGTCAAGTCCTTCTTCTCAAGTGTGCAAAAAATTCAAACATTTAAAAGAGAATGTCAGAAGTGTTATTAAAACAAACCACTAAACACAGACAAATGCACACTCTTGTGCCTTGTGCCATTAAAGTATGTGAAAAAATCAGGTAGTTCAATAAAATCATACAAAAGCGCACTAATAAGTAAGAAGAAAAAATGTTATTATTAATGACTATTAATTCAGCAACACTACATAATACAAAACCCGATAAAAAATCTTGTGACCTAGTCTTGTATATCAGAATGTAAACTGAAGTCTACGGAAACCCCGATATTAAGTAGTTCAATACAGCAGCGCCATCTAATGGTGCATGCGCTGTACGACGATTTTTACCATGCGTTTTGGTTGCTATGGTGATAAGACATGGCCTGCTTCAACCGAGAAAACGCAGTTGAGTGCGGATAAGACTGTATTTTCGTGTGCTCTGGAAGGCGATGTGGAAGGTCTTCAAGATTTCATAGATAATGGTTGGACTGATGAAGCATCGCAGAATATTTTGAGAGAAACTGATGTCGTTGGAAGGAACGCTTTATGCGTCGCCTGCATGCTGGGCAGAAGCAGCTTTGTGCGAAATCTTGTAGTGAAAAACTGCGCAGATGTGAACGATCCAACGACAAGAGGTAGTTCAACGATTGCGGGTTGTGAATTACTAGGGCTGTTCGATTTCAGGTGTGCAAGCGCGGGTACGAGCAAACCTAAACATCACTGTGTTGCACTGCAAAGCCTAGGAGACTCATGTTTCTCGTAAGCTTGCAAACGGAAAATGATTAAATTAGTGGCGAATTTCTAGCCTACTTTAGTCTGTGCTAAACTAGTTTGGGATTCGGTCATTTTTTATTATGTGACAATGTAGAAATTACCACAGAAGCTAATATTTCGTAATGCAGGGGTTGTCAACCAAAAAAAAAAAAATGTGCTATTAGTATACTTCTTTTAAAAAATAAGTGAGTATGTTTTCAGTATACTTTTCTGTACTTATAAGAGATATACTAAACAAAATTAAGTATACTTCACTTATACTTACAAGTATACAGAAAAGTTTAAGTATATTCAGCCTATACTTGTACTTGATCATTTGATTGAGATGTACTTAAGAAAAGTATAAGTAAGGGTAAAGAAAAGAGTATGACATAACAGGGTGGTACAAGAGGTAGCGCTCACAGCATGATGGGCCTGGGTTTGATTCCCTGGCCAGGGAGTTTTAATGTTCTCTCTGTGTCTGTGCAGGTTTCCTCCCACAGTCCAAAGACATGCACTCAGGTCAATGGATATATATATAATTTTACTTGTGATGCTTTTATAAACTAAAAATTGGGCCAATTTAGTCCCAAGAAGTACTGAAATTGTACACGTACAAGTATACTACTAGTACATTGATATTAGTATACTTACTACATAAAGGAAATACACTTGAACCTAAGCTTACTTAATAAACTTAACTTTAAGTATACTTTTTTTGTAGGGGAACTCTAGTGCTGAGGACCCACTGTCAAGGGTGTTGCTAAGCCAGTTTTTAGGGAGGTGGGGTTTTAGGCCTTATTCAAAATACATTATATACAGAGCGAAATACTAAACGAAAAACTAAAGTAGAGAGTAACAATACCTAGCTAAATAATCATGTGTTTTTTTAACCTGGTTGTTTACAGTTTATTTTTACAGTTTTCTTACCTATTTTTGGAAGATACCAGAGTATGCGAAGGACTTCAAGGAGGTCTGTTTCCAAAATGTCATAGAGCCATATCGATTTGAACCAGAATACACAAAAGAATTGCAGTGGCATGAAGAAGAGAGAGCCAAAAGGGAGAGAGATACTGAACCTGCCGGCCCCGAAGTCAAGAAACCTAGAGCGAATGGAAATTGGTAGTGTCAACAACAAACAACTTGCTACTCAGCTTATCAGTTTATGAGGCAGAATAGCAAGGTAGATAGTTATGTTATTATGTGGCCCACTTTAAACAGTCTCTTGTAAGCTAATGACTAACAGTGATATATGCGTGGTGGCTAACGATGAATAACTTATTTCTTTTACAAGCGTTTCTTAACTTGATTCCAGTTTCTGTGGTGAAAATACAACAGAAGGAACAGCAGCTTTCTTTAGCAGCTGGCATTTGAATTTGCATTTTTTCACTTTGTCGGTTTTTAGTTCAGTTTGTAGAGTTGTTCGACTCTACAGTTCGACGTATTTGTGTGTAGCTTCAAAACTATTAGCCACAACTTCAGGATTTCTGGAATTTGTAAAGGAAGCTGAAAAAAACACAACATTTTCTCCATTTATTTTTGCATCCTGGTACAGCGCAGTTCACCACTATTCTGAACAATTAACCAGCAAGGTGCAACTGTAATCTATCGCAGCTTCTCTGATGGATATTGACATAAGCTATGAGTTTTGTTGACACATTGCGATGCAAGGCTGCCTACCCAATAAACACAAAACACATGCCGGGCGTTGTAAGGAAAAAACAGTACCCAAAGAACATATATTTTTTCAAACATAGCACTATTTTACTATTATCAGCATGACTTATAAAAACTTTTAAAATCTAAAAATTTCTCTAGAAAGGCACATTTCATACCATACCACTCTGAATGATTTTGTTTATATCTAAACCACTGAATGATTAAGTAACATGTTTTGCAAAATTAGTGGAGTTCCCATTCAAGGAGGATGAAGAGATTTCTGAGCAGGTGGGCAGTGAGAAATAATGGGCCTCATTTACCAACAACAGTTTCTTCTTGAAACTCGTGCAGTTTTCACTAAGATTCTGACATTCACCAATGTTTTCTTATTTGGGGTTTGTTCTTAGCTTAGAACAAAATCTATACACACTCGAGAGCACAGAGATGCGAACAGTTCAGCGGTTTGAGAACATGTCATGAATCTGATGTAGACTTTTTCTTAGGACCTTTCTCAAGAACACATTTAAGAAAAAATGTAGGAAGATATTGGTGAATAAGGCCCATTGACAGGATGTTAATTTAAGTTACTTAGCTAACGTTAGCATCGTTTGTAGCATATTGACTGTCATGACTGTGTGACATTTAAGCTAAACCTTTGTCATGTCATCACTATCTAGCCACCTTGTTTATCCCAGTATAGCATATAAATAATAAATAAGAGATAAGAGTAAGAAAAGAAGAAGATGAAAATGCACAGATTTTAGAAAAAGTTATGTTGCACAAAGGCAATGCTGTTTGTGTGTAGCAGGAGAAATACAGTTACAGTTTAAGGTGGGCTGGTCTACATCATATAACTCCTGGTCTGAAAGTCCCACTCTGGCCCTGAGGGTAGGTATAATAATCATATAAATTTTTAAAACCCAAATGTGGTTGATAGATACCAGTGTTGGGGAAGCTACTTCGAAAGCATATGTTTACAAGCTACCAATCACTGCTCACTGGTTGAAGTACATGAAAGCTACCCTAAGGAGAAATCTAGTATGGTTAACTAAAGCTACTTAAAGTAGTTCAAACTGCTTTGAAAAAAAAAAAAATCAAACTGACAATGTAGTGTGGTATGAAAGTATAACAAAATATAATGCAAAAAAATTGCATGCCAGCAAAAAATGCCACACAGTTGAGTTTAATTGAGTCCACTTGTTCACAGGTCATACATAAACCAAAAAATAAAATACTATTCATGGGAAAATGCAATGAATATTAGCTTTTTATGGCCCAAAACTGTTTGTTTTTTCAGTAGTTAACTAAATGAAAAATGGCAAAAAAAATTATTTCACTACTTGAATCACTATGCAAATATGAATGTAGTTAAACTTCTAGTTTAATGAGATGTAGTTCACTACTCCCCAACTCTGATAGATGCACTGTGATTATTTTTACAATAAAAGTGAAAGTGCATCACATTTAAGGTTCATATAATGTAAACAGTATCAACCGAGTAGAAAAATATTTACCATTTTATTTACACCGATCAGGCATAACATTATGACCACCTCCTTGTTTCTACGTTCATTGTCCATTTTATCAGCTCCACTTACTATATAGGTGCACTTTGTAGTTACAGACTGTAGTCCATCTGTTTCTCTGCATACTTTGTCAGCCCCCTTTTACCCTGTTCTTCTGTGGTCAGGACCCCCATGGACCCTCACAGAACAGGAACTATTTCGGTGGTGGATCATTCTCAGCACTGCAGTCACACTGACATTGTGGTGGTGTGTTGGTGTGTGTTGTGCTGGTACGAGTGGATCAGACACAGCAGTGCCATTTTTATCATGGTCAGTTCCGCCTCTGGTTTCGTAAATATGGAAGCATAGGAGCCTAGAGCTAGGAGATAACCACACTCACGCGCTGGGCTAAATACCCCCAGCACCACCTCACAAGGCTGCGATATGCCAGCTGTCTGTACCAACTGTAAATAAATCAGTTAATCTAAGCTTGGTTTGTAATAAAGATGTTGGACAGGTGAGGATTCTTCCATGGCTCATACTGTTAAGGCTCAAGACGCACTGTCTGATCAGAAACACCTTCCCCCGTCGAAGACGGGGATGGTAGCAGAGAAAAACCTTAACCTCGTCAACCCTCTCAGTTGTACGGAGCCCCACTGGTGGCATCCTATATAAATAAAAATAATGCATGGCCACAACTTAGTATGGCGTGGGAACAAGATAAGTAAGTCCTGGCCATGACTTAGTAAGGCATGGGAACGACTTACTAAAGCGTGGGAACGAGATCCTAACGCGTGGTCATGACTTTGTAAGGCATGATCCCATTCCCACGCCTTACTAAGTCGTGGCCATGACTTAATTATATCATTCCAACGCCTTACCAATTAGTGGCCATGCATTAGGATCTCGTTCCCATGCGTTAATAAGGCGTGGCCATGCATTATTTTTATTTATATGGCATGTCACCAGCAGGGCTCCGTACAGTTGCAATTTGTTGCAATCATTTGTTATTTTCTGGAGCTAATGTACACTAGCTCTAAAAACACAGCAGCCCAGCCCACCCGGTTTCCCTTGCAGCCCCACCTCCAAACCATAGATCACTGCAGTGCCCCTCCCAGCGTGCCCCTCCCATTTTTGAGCATTTTTCAAAGTTGAGCCAGGGGTGGAGTTAGCTGAAAATATTGGGGTGTAGTTACTCTTCAATGCAGCGGTGTTCAGTCTTACTCCCAAAGGGTGTGCCTACAGATTTTCATTCAAAACAAACATGAGTACACCTGATTCCACTCGTTTTATCAGTTGGTCTTAGTCTTCAGACAACTGGTCATGTGTGCTTCTACTTTGTTAGAATGAAAACCTGCAACCACATCAGCTCTTTGTGGGTAAGATTGGACACCCCTGGTTTAATGCCTCTAACAAGATTTCTAAAATTGCACAGTGTATGCCTAGCTTAAGAGTTGCCTCACAGAAACCTGTTATGTGAAATGGTTGCATATACTTTGCCTGGTGCCTGAGACATTGTTTTGTGATAGTTTTGAGAAAAAGTTTTGGCCCAAAATGTATTTTTTAAAGTTAAGTTATTCATGACCTAGAGGTACATGTAGGACCATGTAAGGCAACAGTATCTAAATATCCAAACAAAATTTTGATATTTACCATTGTTGTACTTATCAACATTACGTATCACCTCCACTCTTCCTGCACCTGTTTTACCTGAATTTTTACTATTAATTTTTTTACTATTATTGTCTTATTTTCATTATTTTATTATTTGTTTGTTTATTATTATTAATATTCATATTATTTTATTATTACTTTAGTCATTTATATAATTTTTACTTTACTTTTTGATATACTTTTATTTTGATTTGATTTGATTTTATTAACTTTTACATTTTATATAGTATAGTATATATACTATAGTATATAGTTATACATTTTACATAAAAACTCACAAGACATGTATGGCTGTATCTGTGTTATGGCTATATTAGACATTTGCTACCCCTGGTTCCTGTTATCTTTACAATGCACCATTTCACATCAAAACCACCATGACTTTATTTTTCATCAAAAGTTTTCATCAACATGACTTTTCTTACAACTCAATGATGAACTATGTGGTGAAATTTTCAAGTCTAAATAGTAGATTTCTTTTCTCTCTAATATATTTAGTAAAAGTAAAAGTATCATTAAAAAATCAGTTCTTGGACCTCTTTTATATAATCTTCAAATGGTCCCTTTAGGCCAAATGCTACAGCACAGCAACACTGATTACCATAGTTTGGCAGATGACATAGAGATATCCTTAACTCTCTTACAGTTGCAGTTGTCACTGTGTCAATGCAATGCATTTTTTCCACGAAATAAAGGCAAAACAGAAATTATTGTATTTGGCAACAAAGAGAAAAGACTGAAAATCATCTTGATTTCAGGGTGAGAAAAACTAAAGCCCAAATCCAAAGTCTTGCTGTTCTAATACACTCAGATCTCACCTTTATAGCCACATCAAAGCAATAACCAAAACAGCCTTCAATATCTTCAATGGAAACAGAAAAGACAAAATAATTTGCCTGTTTTTTCAATATTGCTGTCTTTCTAGTTGGTGCTTTAATGTTGGCTAATAGTTGGAGTATATTGTTAATCATCATAGCTACCTATGAGTTGTGAGTGTAAAATTGGGCATTACAGGCTCCAGTACAGATATTGAATAGGAGAGGCAGCTGGGAACAGAGCACAATATGAAGGGCAAGGGTTCTCCTGGGTTAGAGACCACTGCCTTTACCAATGTGAATCCCAGAATGTGTTGCAAATTACATCCAACCATCCATCCAACAACAATTTAACAATTCTATATACGTTTCATACCTGTGAATTGCATTGACTGCCAATATGATGAGAACTTAGCTATGGACGTTGTTCATTTCTAGGGTACTCGCCATTACATTACTCTGCCATGTGGGGTCAGCTGGACACAGTGATGACCCTGTTTGAGCTTGGTGCTGATTTGCAAGCAATCAGTTTCTGTGGAGAGCGAGCCATTGACTTAGCCCGTCGCTATTTATATATATCCAAGTTGGACTGTGCCCATTTTCTTGCTTGGGCTGGTAAGCAAAAAATTTGTAAAAAATATTCTTAGTCAGATCATCAGCTGGATCACCCATGTTTATCTCAAATTTTGCACTCTAATAGAGGCCAAACAAAGCTTGCAAGCATCCATAACTCGAATGAAAGGCATCCTAGCAGATCCAGAGAAAGTTCAAGGAAAGGTCAACAAGGAGGACAAGGTCAAGATAAATTAATTTTCTGTAAAGATGTTGCTCTGATAGCATTTTTACAATTAGTGATTGTTTCTTTTATTCTTTTTTCTCAATATTTAGAACGTGTATAAATATCTGCTCTGTAAAATCAGACTGGATTCAGAATGCCAAAAATCCAACAATTCAAGACTTTGCAAAGCAGAAACAGTATCTTGAAGATGTGGTTGCTCCCATCATGACCAAGCTGACAGCACAATGTAAGTTTGTGTGGTATTTTACATTAAAGAACTCTAGCTCCTTCAGTTCTTTTCCTCTACTGAAAAGTGAAAACCATTTTAAATGAAAGTGGATCTTAGTGGATTTCATTTAGCCAGTAACACATGCAACTCATGTGACATATCATTATTGAACAAATGACTTATAGGGGAATTCCATTGTTTTTTCAAAAAACAAAATCAGAGTGCTATGATGTTAAACAGATATACTTAGATATACTGTAGCTGCTGATGTTACATAAAACATTTTGGACACTAGGTTCTTCGGTGTGATTTTCTGGGTGTTGGGAGGGAAAATCAAATAAAGTCATCAAAGGTGGCAAAGAAACGCAAGGAGGAAGGAGAGCAAAATATTTGTTACAACACTCCTAAACCTAACTTGTTTCAGTCAAAATAGAGTGCTGCACAAACTCAGCAGACTGTGCATAATGCTAGTGTTAATGGTAGTATATATAACTTCAGTCTTGGGTTAATTACTAAAAAAGTCATGCATTACAAGTTACTAATTGCTTCTTTCAAACTGTAAAAGAAATAATTTACTAATTACTTCATCAAAAAAGTACTCCTTACTTTTTACTTCTGTGTTACTCTGTACTTAATTATCTCACTATACTAGCAGATAATTTTTCTTAGCAAAATTATCTGCCAGTATAGTGAGAATTTCACTTAAAATTATATAATATAAATTTTTAATGTATTTTTTTTTTTTTTACTTGAAATAATATATGAATGCTCAAACTTGTAACAAAACCAAACGTTACCTGGAGATGGAGTTCATTGAAGCATGAGAGCCAGAGGGATGTGTGACAGAACTATTCAACAGTAATCTATATTGTTAGCCTATTGTTCTATATTTATATACATATAAATGTACACACACAAACACACCAAACGCACACAAACACACACACACACACACACATACACACACACACACACACACATATATATATATATATATATATATATATATATATACACAAGTTGGGACGCTGTGTAAAACGTAAATAAATGTAATTATAAACAGAATGCAATGATTTGCAAATCTCATAGACCCATATTTTGTTTATAATAGGACATAGAACACATATCTGATGTTGAAAGTGAGACATTTTACCATTTCATAAAAAATATTAACTCATTCAAAACTTGAAGGAAGCAAGTTAGATATAACTGTTAAACCTCTTTCAATCTTTAAACATTGGTTTTTAAACCTGCTTAAACTAGGCTTTTCTTTTTGTGGTGTAACCGCTCTCCCATAGAGCGCAAATTACAATACAATGCATGCTGGGGGTTGTAGTGCAGCACATTGAGAAATGAGCTAATATTAATATCAAATTTTAATAATTTCACAGGCTGAATAGGATTGTGCCATTGTGTTTGCCACATAGGGTCTAACCTATATTTCTAATTCATTCATGATGGGGAGGCAAAATAGTACCCATAGAAAACTTTTTTTCCCAAATTTAGCACAGTTTTACCATTATGAACATGACATAGAACCCAGAAGACACATGTAGGTTCACTGGTTGTTTTGGATAGTAAATAAAATGCTGTATTTCCGTTGTGGACAATGCCACCCCTGGTTCTGATCACTACCGTTTAAACAAAAATCCAAGTCAGTAATGGCACCATTTCACATTAAAATACTCTTATTCGAATTTGTTTACATCTCAATAATTGACTTATGCAGAAATAAAAAAGTCAGTGGAATTCCTCTTAAAACAAACAAGGTCACTGATGAGCTGAGTGGCTCAAGCGGAAGAAAATGTATTTTAGACTAGCCAAGTCAGAGTCCTGACTACAGTCCAACTGAAAAGCAATGGCCTTGACTAATTAAACATATAGCGTTATTGGTATGTCAGTATAAGATGCTGTGTGCTGTATTTATTGACTTTGTTTACTATTATGATTTACAGTTACATGAAAAAAGTATTTGAAACACAAAAAACAGTTTTTAAATGATCATTTCATGTAAAAAGTTTTACAACCCCTATATCACCCATGTGAAAAAGTGATTGCTTCCCAAACTTAGTAACAGGTTGTCCCACGTTTACCAGCAACAACTGAGACCAAACCCTTCTTATAACTGCAGATTAGTCTTTCATATCTTGGAAGATGTGAAGATCTTTGGGAGGCTGGGAGGGAGACATCTCCACTGGTCTCCTTTCTCTGTGCTCTGTGACCTATACTGAAAAAAGAGATGGCTATAAGTAGACTGGCAGACACAAGGCACAGATAAATCTTATCAGCTACTCAGGCCGCTGGTTCAGGATGACTGGCTCTCCATCCTGCATGTGACACTCGACCATGCCCACTCCTCCACAGAGGAATTTTTTGCTAACTTTTCTTTGCAGAATTTATTTAAAGAATGGTTTTTGAGCATTAATTGCCCGTTTAAAGTCCTGCCATAGCATCTCAATGGGGTTCAAGCCAGAACTTTAACAAGACTCCAAAATCTTAATTTTGTTTCTTTTGAGCCATTCAAAGGTGGACTTGTTCTTGTGCTTTGGATCATTGTGTTACTGCATAAGCTAATTGTGCTTGAGCTTCAGATCACAGACTGATAATTGTTCTCATCAAGGTCCTTTTGGCAAATGTAAGACAACCTTCATGTTCCTCTTGGTTAGCAGTGGTTTTCACCTTGCAGCTCTCTGATGGGTGCCATTTTTGCCCAGTTTCTTTCTAGTGGTGGGATCATGAACACTGACCTTATATGAGGCGAGCAAGGCCCACAGTTCCTTAGATGTTCATCTGGGTTCTTTTGTGGCTTCCTGTTAGTGTTGGATAACAATTTTCCCTTCAATAAATGTTATAATGATTTAATGAAAACTGTGTTTAATGTTTATTCTGGTTGTCTGTCTTAAATATTGTTTGAAGATCTGACACAAGTAAGTGTGACAAATATGTAAAAATTTATGGTTTGAATCCAGATCTGAAGCCCCATCAAAGACCAGCAAGAATCAGATGAATGCACACAAACAAAGTTTTCACACAGAATCCATCATGTTCTTCCAACTCCTAAACGATTGTTTGTAGATCAGTAGAACATGACATATTTATATGTAAATTTTAAAAAGGCCATTGCACCGATTATGTACCCAGTTTTTACCTGAGGAATTAAAGACCCCATATCGTGGAACAAATTTTCTTTGCTTTATTGAAGTAAAAGAATTTCATGTAGAATGTAAACATATTCACTCCTCAGTCAACACAGTCAATATATGGATACTAAGCAGAAACAGCATTTGGTATGTTATGAAAACCGACACATTTACATTAAGATATAGGCCCTTTAACAGCCATAAATTTCTTTTTTTTTTGGATCTGTAACTTTCCTATTATATTATTATTATTATTATTATTATTATTATTATTATTAGTAGTAGTAGTAGTAGTAGTAGTAGTAGTAATAGCAGTATTAGTAGTATAACTGTTAAAATAAAATGTAATAAATGTTATAAAATATCATGTGTTACATGTGACTGACAGTCCAAACTGTCACCCACTGAAAACATTTGGCACATTATGAAATGAAAAATACGACAAAGGAGACCCCAAAATGTTGAGCAGCTGAAATCCTTTTTCAAGACAAGAATGGGAAAACATTTCACTTTCAAAACTACAGCAATTGGTCTCCTTAGTTCCCAAACGCTTACAGAGTATGAGAAACATTTTATTTTTGGGCGTAGAATAATAATAAGAAGAAGAATATTACGAAGAACAGTAAGTTGGATTTTCCACGCCAACTAAAGGCTGTCCGGACTACATTTAAAACCAAATCCACCACACAGAAAGTCAGGGTAAATAGATGCACTCTGGACACACACCCATGTGAATCGACTGTGCGGGTATCCTTTGGTCTTCCCTGAATCCCTGGCAGGCTGCTGTTCCTCCAGGCTGTCGGTGGTGGCATGTGACTGAGGTGGAAAAGTGGTCAGGATTTTTAAATGTGAAAAAGAGGGCTAGAGGAGAGGCTCTTCCACTGCAGACTGAGACCACGGACGTCCCGAAATGTGAAAAAACAAATACAACTCCGAGTTAAGCTGCGGGTCGAGTGATAAATTTATACGTCGGGACGGTTTCAAGCTATCCATATGGACAGAACGATAAACTACAGTCACCGAGGAGAAAAAGCCAATGTCTGAAGTCGTGGCCGCCGGCGAGAGCTGATTTCTAAACACCATCAGGAGAAGCTGTCCACCTTCTCACCATAAGAGCCAAAGGAACTTCCAAAAAAGACGTTTAACTTTTCACTTTTGCCTTATTTCAGCAGATGATTGTGAACTGAAACATTACGAACAAATAGTATGCAGATATATAAACAAACGTTAAAAAAAGAATGTCATCGGACTGCGTTAGCCGAGTGAACGTTAGCTGAGTTTGTGTTGGCCAGTTCAAATTGCAACGTTCTTTCATCCCGACCGACTGACCAAACAAAGAAAGATAGGAAAATCGTAGCTAACGTTGTATGGACCCTGTGGAATCTACCTCCTGTGATTTTTTTTTTTATCAGCAGTTCCTTCCGTTTTAAATTCCGGAAGGTCGCCTTTTTATATTATAACTAGCTGTACTGCCTTAGAAATCACATAGACGCGTGTAGATGCTAGCTAAATGGTAAATGAAAACCGACCAGTGCTGATTGTGTTGCCATCGGTTTGTGTTCCAAAAACAACGTTGAAGTTTTGCTCCGGATGAAGTTTCTGTCAGGAGTTTACCCTGTAGGTGTATCTGGCACGGAGATGGATTTAATGACTGGCGACGTGGACTCGGTTCAAGGAGGCATTGTTTCTTTAGACCCTGTGGTAGACGGGATTTTAATTGACTCCATTTGCCAGCAGCAGGGATGGGTGCGAGTGTACGGTAAGTTGTGGCTGGTTATAGCTTCGCTATTAAATTCTCATTTTTGATGTTTTCTTAACGTTTCTCTGCTTCATGTTGTATTTTTACCTACCTTTCACCTGACGTGCCAGACAGCAGGACTACGACGTAACTGTTATTTTTTTAGACCATACCCCTGGCGTCAGAGACTTGTAGGCTGTACAGACTGTACAGGAAATAACGACCAAACGAGTCATTTCATTATGATGGCTTCGTTAGTAAGTGTGTGGTACAGTCTCAGTCTCTCTCTCTCTCTCTCTCTCTCTCTCTCTCATATATGTATATATATTAGGGGTGGGGAAAATCGATTCTTAGATGCATCACGATGCGGACGTGGACGATTCTGAATCGATTTACAAACGTCAAAAAACGATTTTCTAAATATTTAATTTATAACGTAATGTTGACGGAACGCAAAGGGCAGAACTTGGAAGTGGGTAAGTGCAGCGCCTGGACAGTCTGTGGCGGGACATAACAAAAACACAACTGGATGCATTAAAAGCCAGGTCAAGTCAGGAGTCACAACCCAAATGTTAAGAGTCATTTTGTCCTTTCAACAAAAATCAAACCACCTTGGGAGCCACACCATTTAATGTCCAGTATGTCTCAGTATGTGTTGATGTCCTAGTATAGACTAAACAATATAAACAAGAGCGCGGACTTACTCTGCTCTGCTTTAAGCTTTAGCTATATCCGCTTTTCTTCCATCTCCGCCAGAAAACTTTTCCTCAAAAGTTAAATAGTTTGTTGTAAAATGTCTTTCAGCTTTTGACTGTTTTACAAGTCTGAAGTCGATTCTCATTCGCCAGCTTCTTGCTGAACTTTCCCGTTCCACGTTAAATTCTGACTGAGGTGCCGAAGGTAAAAGCGGCACCATTTAAGGTGGAACGGGAAAATTAGAAAGAGAAGCGGCTTCATCTTCGCAGCTTTTTAGTGTTTGACAGTCTCTCGTTGCAGATTTAAAGTATCAGGAAACCAACTAACTACGTTGCTTATAAATGTCTCCGAATCCTTTTTCGTTCGCTACTAGCCAGGCGAAACCTTGTTGCTAGGTGACCTGCTGTCTGCACGCCAATTCTCAGTCGTTGAGAAAGAGGGCTTCCGCGCTATGTTGCACACGTCCCATCTTGAAGATATTTTATTGACCCCCCCACCCCCCACCCCCCCAGCTCTGTACCACGAGACCAAAACCGGAGTTATAAAATCACTAAAGAAAACGTGTAGCACGGCTATAATGTGCTGCGTGGTCATCCATTACCGCTGGATCTGATTTCACCCTAACAGCATATTTTATCACAGATGAGTGGCAGCAGCGCTTCTAAACAAGAGCAGTGAATGAGAGCCTTCCAGTTCACTTGCCACATCACTTCCATTTGTTTTTTTAATAAAAGCTATTGGACATAAATGCATTATGGATCATTACAAATACTTAGCTTTAAAAGTACCAAGTCCTCAGACAGTAAGAAAATAGAAATCATGTATAGAAAAAAAGGATGCATCGAGATGCATCGATAATCGTTTTATAATCGCATCGCAGCCCTCGTAATCAAAGCGTGAGGTGGCTAGAGATTCCCACCCCTAAAATATATATATATATATATAAAATATATGTGTATATACATATATGTTTGTGTATATACATATATATATATATATGTATATACATATATATACATATATATATATATATATATATATATGTGTGTGTGTGTGTGTGTGTGTGTGTGTATATATATATGTATATATATTCACTCACCCATCCAAATCATTGAATTCTGGTGTTCCAATCACTTCCATGACCACAGGTGTATAGTATAAAACCGAGCACTTAGGCATGCAGACTGCTTGTACAAACATTTGTGAAAGAATGGGTTCCTCTCAGGAGCCAGTGAATTCCAGCGTGGTACCGTGATAGGATGCCACCTGTGCAACAAGTCCAGTTGTGAAATTTCCTCGCTACTAAATATTCCACAGTCAACTGTCAGTGGTATTATAACAAAGTGGAAGCGATTGGGAACGACAGCAACTCAGCCACGAAGTGGTAGGCCACGTAAAATGACAGAGCGGGGTCAGCGGATGCTGAGGTGCATAGTGTGCAGAGGTCGGCAACTTTCTGCAGAGTCAGTCGCTACAGACCTCCAAACTTCATGTGGCCTTCAGATTAGCTCAAGAACAGTGCATAGAGAGCTTCATGGAATGGGTTTCCATGGCCGAGCAGCTGCATCCAAGCCCTACATCACCAAGGGCAATGCAAAGCGTCAAATGCAGTGGTGTAAAGCACGCTGCCACTGGACTCTAGAGCAGTGGAGACGTGTTCTCTGGAGTGATGAATCACGCTTCTCCGTTCAGACGAGTCTGGGTTTGGCGGTTGCCAGGAGAACGGTACTTGTCTGACTGCATTATGCCAAGTGTAAAGTTTAGTGGAGGGGGGATTATGGTGTGGGGTTGTTTTTTAGGAGTTGGGCTCGGCCCCTTAGTTCAAGTGAAAGGAACTTAATGCTTCAGCATACCAAGAGATTTTGGACAATTTCATGCTCCCAACTTTGTGGGAACAGTTTGGGGATGGCCCCTTCCTGTTCCAACATGACTGCACAAGGTCCATAAAGACATGGATGAGCCAGTTTGGTGTGGAAGAACTTGACTGGCCTGCACAGAGTCCTGACCTCAACCCGATAGAACACCTTTGGGATGAATTAGAGCGGAGATTGCGAGCCAGGCCTTCTCATCCAACATCAGTGTCTGACCTCACAAATGCGCTTCTGAATGGTCAAAACGTCCCATAAACACACTCCTACCACACAGTCACTAGCCGTGCCATCACGGTAATCAAATAAATGACACGTTTGGTCATTATTTCTCTGACGCCAGACATATGGTTTAAAAAAAATGTATATTTAAAATATAGTACATTTATGTATAGTATATTTCTGTGTGTGTGTATACATAGTTAGATAATCAAGGCACACAGGAAAATAAAGCTGTTATAAGCTGTTATAGTACATTTCTTTGTGAAGGCTATTATTAATGCACACTTGTTATACACTCGTGAACCACTTGGGCTCAGTTGCATGGTTGTTAGTTCACTGAGTGATGGTCTTAATATGTTCGTATTGCTCTGGAGCTGTAATGTCAGACCCAACTTTGAGGGCATAAGCAAGCAGACCACCTTCATGACTGATAGAACCTTAACTGACATGATTGTGTCTGCTCAGTTTGATGGTACCTTTAGCATTCATTCATATACTCATTTCTACTTCTCTGCCTCCTTGATGTGTTACTGACGTGCTTGTCTTGGTACGGCATTCAGTGTGTTTGGACTTCAGCAAATTGTTGAGTCTATTTATTGTGGCTAGAGATTTTTTTAGGAATCTGAGGTGGCAGGTAAAGAGGACTGGATCTTTAAGTCTGTCAGCGTTTGTGCGTTTCTTATGGTAAAAGGGAAATTCAACTTCAAAATTTCTGTGTAATTGAATCGTTGAAATGGAAACATTGTCATTCAGAGTGGTATGATATGAAATGCTCTGTTCTATAGAAGCTTTCCAAGTCAGAATTCACAGCAGTGGTGATAGGAACCAAGCATCTGAAGTGTTTAATGTGTCGAAAAGATACCTCAAAGAAATTGATTACATGATGCATGCTTCCTGGTTCATGAGACATTGTTTTACAATAGTTCTGAAATAAAGTTTTGGCTTCAAATATATTTTAAAATTCATTTGTGTCAAATAAAAAATCTTTGAAGACACATTTGGGTTCACTGGTCGTTGACATTTGATCATCATTGAAATTCAGACTACTCTGAATGACTTTGTTTACATCTTAGCAATTGAATTATGCAATTCATAAATTTTGACAAATCAGTGGACTTTCCCTTTAATGTTTTTCTGTCAAACAACAAAAATGAGATACTGGGAAAAGGCTAGGCACAAGTGACCTATGGAAATGTATGTATGGTGAAGTGCTGAATATCTTTAATTTTAAACTTTTATTTTCCGCATTTACTCTTATGTGTGTAAATATAATTTTTTTTATTAACAAAAGGCCTGAAAATATGGAATTATCAGTGGTCAGCAACAGACTTTATATTTGGTTTGTGTCTGGTTATGTTAATGATCATATTGCTGTTATCAGTGACTTGAGTTCTTCAGGGATGCTTTATTGATTAACCCATTCTCTAGGCTTTCTGCATAGTCATGAATAATTGTCTGTATCTGTTTCATGATATGGAGTCTAACTGTTGTCTATAGCGGTTATATGTTAGTTACCTGAAGCTGCTGTAGCTTCTATAACCATGTCAGCCAGGCTTGTTGTCATGGTAGATGGCTGACATTTTAATAAAGAAAACCAGTTGAATTTTGGTACACATTGACAGAACATCTATTTCTAGGTCCACCTTCTGACTGTACCCCTCGTTACATGGTTTTCTACCCTCAACTTGGTATGGGGATAAAAATTGAAGAAGTGGAAGAGTGCAAAGCATCTTTAGGAAAAATAGTAGAGTCTCATTCTGTTGAAGGCCAAACCTTGGAAACAATAACAGCGAATGAGCTGTAGAACCAGATACTTGTTAATAGTTCATAATTAATTAAAAATTCTATAACTTGAGAATACTTCACCCAAAAAACAATAACAGCGAATGAGCTGTAGAACCAGTTACTTATTGTCTCATTTAGTTCTGCTGTCCAGTTTTACTGGTAACATGCTCTCATGCCACAGTAGTTGCCTCAAATAGTAAGGGTCTAAGCAAGCAGTGCATAGGACCCTATTGCTTTTGCTCGGATTCTTCTTCTTCTTCTTCTTCTTCTTCTTCTTCTCTTGGGAAATGTGTTGTGGAGAAGAGACTGTAAGTCCTAGAGACACTAAACTTAGTGGGTAGGTGTAGTTTGTGCGCATCTAGCCAGACAACAAGAATTACTCAGATTGGCCAAAGTGGGGGCACTGTAGCGCAGCAAAATATGTTTTGCCTCATAACTCCTAAACCAAAA